GGGAAGGTTTACTCAGAACTCTTTTTAGTATATTGATTTTTCTTTTTTCACGTGTTAATGGTGTGACCTTTACAAAACCAAAAGTGATTTAGAATTTAAATTTTGAAATTGATAATACATTGCTCCTGTTAGAAGATGTGGGACTTTACATAGGTTTTCATTCACATCAGGTAATTAACTTGCCAGTAATTGTATTTTATGCAATTTTAAAAATGTTTAGGGCTATTTTTAATGGTCTTGTCTCGTGGAATATAGATTGTTATGGGTTAATGTGTTTGTGAGTGCATGAAAATGTTCACTGTAGTGGTATATTAAGCTGAACTGAAATGTGGTAGAATTTTCCTGGGTTTATTACTGCATTTTTAACTATACTTAGAGCTTCAGGTAAAATGTGTGAAGAAGATATTCTGGATTTTCATGGGGTGTAGCGCCCATTAAAAAACCCCTTCTGTAATACTGTATTTTTTCTGATTCTCAGTTTATCATCAAAACAGCTTTGCAGTAAAAAATATAGTAAATAATTTGCACAATTCTATCTGAATGAATGTGAAATTATTAATTCAACATATCTCTGCACAACAATAAGAACAAGGTGCTCCTTGCTGTGCTGTTCATTCACAGCTGTTTTTTCATGCTGCCATCCTTCGCAGCATGTGTTTGATTTTGCTCTGAGTAGCTGCAGAAACACTTGAAATGCTGCAATTTGAAATTACCTTCCAGGGAGTGATGACAGTGGCTTTTCAGGCCATGCTCTTTTTTTTATGTTACCCTGAATAAAATAAATTGAAATAAATTGATAGCATTTTTCTAGTGCCTGACTGTGCCTTGTTGAACACATCTCAGAGTAGCATTTTCTGATCTGGCCACAGTAAAGTTTGTTATCAGTGCTGTCATTAATTTGGCTGCAAGTGGAGATAGCCTTTTGGAATGGATGAATACTTCAGCTTTATACTTCAACTGCTTAAAGGAGATCAAAATTTTAGACCTTTTTAAGAGAAAATCTGACTAGAAAGTGAATTGTACAGGTGGTTACTGTGAACAGACATATCTTGAGAATTTTGGAGCGGTTGTCTAAAATGCAGCATTGTACATATTTAGGAGGATGCCAGAGAAAATAAAAATTATGATTGTTGTTCTTTTCAGTGAAAATGAACAAATGGGCTCTTAACTAATTTGATTTTATGATTAAATAATAAATGTTTATCAGCACTTTGTATTAGCATGTGAGATAAATGTGTGTCATTGTGGACTAGATCTGGTAGGAGTTTGTATATCTGGCAGTCAGAGAAGTGGGGCTTTTGGTTGTGTGATTTTTGCTTTTATTTTTCTCTTTAATCCTTTCTCAACTTGGAAAACAAGAAGGCTGATGCTCTTTCTGTAGTGTGTGGTATTTTAAACCTCAAATGTCAGCCATCCCCTTGCCCTTTAATGAATTTGTGCATTCTATGAATGCCTGTGAGTCAGAGAGCAGAGGGGAACTCTGTATTTGCTTCAATTAGTGAGTTTAAACAAAAAAACCCTAAGGTTATTGATTATAGCAAACACTCACCTTCTGTTTTTTTGTATAAATAATTTAGAGGTTCAAGCATTTACTCATAGAGGATTTAAGAGAGCCTGATGCTTGGGTTCAGCATGCATGCTGTAGATGCCAGTGATCTGAGGCAGAAAACCGTGACCTATGTGTGAGGAGTGCATCAACCTTCCAGGGGAGGCATCTGCCTCCACACTGCCCATACAGAGGGTTTTGGGGTGTCCCTGTGGTTGCACACGCTGATGGCAGTGCTGTGACATGGCCAGTCTCACCTTGGGCTGTTACCTTGGGCCTCCTTGAAGGTGAGGAGGGTGTCTGTGATACAGATGGGCAGCAGGCTGGGATTTAATATGGAATAAAATAGCCATCTTCTGATGCTAAATGGTCAGGAGACGTGGTTGTAACTTGAACTTGATTCTGACCCTCTGTTTCTGGTGGCGGTCATGTACCAGGGGAAAATTCAGCAAGTGGTTTGGGTTTTGCTTGCTTTTGCCATGTAAAAGCCCAGAAAGTTTACAGCTGGTGCAGGCAGAGGATCATTGCAGTAAGAGCTCCTTCCAAAGAAACAACTAACCAACCTGAAAAACGGCCAGGGAGGAGAGCTCCTGTGTCCCTCTGCCATCTTTGTGTGTGTAAGAGCTCCTTCCAAAGAAACAACCAACCAACCTAAAAAAGCCAGCAGGGAGGAGAGCGACTGTGTCCCTCTGCTATCCTTGTGTATGTTGAGCCTGGCTCTGTGAGGGTGCAGGATTACTTGTGTTCCATTTTGTGTCTTCTGTCTCTGTTTTTGTGACCACAGTATGATCCATAATTGAAATAAGATGCCTTTGAAAACTCTGCTAAGGATTTATGTCATGAATGATGATAAAGGAGTTTTGTTATATTTGGAAGATGCAGTTAAATATAACGTCAAGTGAAAGGCAGAAGTGAAGTAATTTTCCTTGTTTGAAGAAGCTAAGCAAGAGTTGGTTTCAGTTCTGCTGGTGGAAAATAGTTAAATTCTGTATTTATTAAGTTCTAATGAAAACTAGACCTTACATGACCATACTGCTCCTTATTACCTGAGAGGGACTGTGATCATTGTATTTTATGATGAAAGTTATATTATTGAAAGAGCAAATGTTAGCTTCTCCCGTTTTTATTTTTTCATTATGCTTTTAAACCTGTTACAAAACCTTGGAGTTCAGCACATTAAGTTCATTTGCTGTTAGGAAAATGGCACATTTTCTAGATAGAAGTTGAATCTTAAATTATTATATACAATCAAATCATGCAGTACCTCTCCACAAATCAGTGATCACATAATAATAGTATTAATTTCTGAGGGAACAGTAATGTATTAAACAGTTAAATATTCCAGGCTTTGTCCCTCATCTGGTAACACTGGCAGAAAAAATGAGATATGCCATATAGATCATCTTATTTTCAACACTTTTATAAAGGCTGAAGCATATTTTATTTGATGCATCACTGACATTTGGTAAAATGAGGTGAGAAAGTTCCATTTTCTGTCAGGAGTCAACCAGAGCCCAGCATGTTTCCACTGTCCAGTATTGAATTTCTGTTCACATTGCAGATCAATGTGAAACTGCAACCACTGAGGCTTTCTGGCATGTACAAAACATTTGTTCAGCTAGAAAATGAGTGGGGGAAAAGAGCCAGGGGTGATGTCCAGATGGGAGCCCACTGGAGTGCTGTGAAGCAGAACACCTGGTGTGAGGAACAGGGGATGTGCAGTCCATGACCCTGGGTCTGGGTGCAGGGCACCTGTGGGAGTGGGTGTTGCAGCTTTATTGGGGACCACCACTTCCAGGATCTGGGTCTGGAAATGCTGGTGCACTGTGAGATGAGTTGCTGTGGTTAAAAATTGTTAGATTAAAAAAATTTATTAGATTAAAAAAAAATTGCAGAGGATTTGTCAGGAATTAATTTGATGTTTTTGGAAAACAAAACAGTTTGTAAAATTGTAACTGTTTCTTAAATAGACTTGAGTTATTTCTAGGTACCAGAGGTCATGCCTGCAGTAATAGCTGCAGGCTGCTCCCAGGTGGTTGTTATTGGCAGTGGGGAGGACTTTCCTCCCTCTCTGGTGGTGGGACCCTGCATGGAGGGGTTCTTGAGGTTTGTGTGTTCAGTCAGATCTCTTGATACGATGTGAAGAGTTTTGCATTGCTTGCTTTCAGTATTGTTTCTGAATTATATGCTGTGAATGATGTTGTTTGGCATAATGAAAGTGGTGTGGGGTTTGTTTGTTTGTGTGGGTTTTTTTGTTATATTGTTCTGGTATTTTTTAATGTGGGTTTGTTAGTTTTTGTTGGTGTGGTTTTGGTTGGTTTTTTTCCTAGTCCAGAGTTATTACAGACTGAATTGTTCTGTGCAGAAATACAAAGATAGAATAAAGTAGAATGAGGTGGAATGGTTGATGTGTAACTGTTGGTGTGTTACTGGTCTGCTGGGTAGCTTGAGAGATCACATTTCTCCATCTGCCTTGATAAGAAATTCTGTAAATTGCAAAGTTGAAGAATTAACCCATTACAATTTTTTATCTTATTACAATGTGATTGTTCAATCATTGGGAAAAAAACCTATTTAGTTTCTTTTAAACCCTACAGCAGCTCTACCATGAGGTAATACCACTGAGGTGTAGGTTTACCATGGGAATTAACCCTGGTGTCATTGTTTCTGAATGTCTGTTTAATTTAAAAGCAGGAGAGGTGATGTTGGGAAGAACCTTGAAGTATCAGTTTGATTCAGAGTCTGTACAAATAATAATTTACTTTTGTTTGCCCCAGTTTGTTTTAGTTGTCTGTTTTCTTTAAATAACCATGAGTTAAGCTTTGCAACAGGGCTGGTAAGATCCTGCTGACTTCAGTGAGACTTGACACGGTCCATTAACAATCTAATGTATTTATGTTAGTAAATGGTGTCATTTTGAAATTTATCACAGGCTCGTGAATATCTTTATTTCTTCTTGCCCACTTCTCTGGAATTATTAGACATACAGTTGAAGTAGTGGCTTGGGTTACTTTGCTGGTAATTGGATTAACAATTCAGTATGCAGTGCCAAGGTATCTTTTAGCAGAATTGGGAATAATGCTTTTCTGGATGTATCAGTTTACTAAGTGTATCCTATTGATATCCTGCTGTATAAGAAAGATTATTTTAATACGTATATTAAATCTAGAATTAAATTTTGTTTTGTTTTCAATAGTAGTATATGATAGGGCATTAATCTGTAAATATATGAATTTTAAACTAGCTATATAAAATTACTGGAGATATTAGAAATGCTTGAGTAAGTTATCTTTCTTATAAAAAGTGTTAATTTTTCAGTCACCTGTTGTCAATTAATAGACTGTTGTAGGAGATTGTGTAAGAGTATGCTATTAACATATAATGCTCTTAAAAAAAAGTTGACCTGAATATTGCTTTTTTCAGTTTTGTGACCTTTATATTTCTTTCTCATTAGAACTATGCAGCACTGATCCAGCAACAAATTGAGGACAAACAAAACTTGAGAGAAAAGGCTGTATATGGAATTCAGCTCACAGAAGAAAAACTTAATGACTTCCGTGATGAACAGATTGGGCAGCTGAAGGAACTGATGGATGAGGCTACCAAACCTCATAAAAAAATCACCATTTCTAAAGACTCAGAATACAAAACCTAAAAGATTAAAAGGATTATTTTAATGCATATTGCAACCATTTTGAAGCTTTTTCCAGTTGTACTTTAATGTGGTTTCTGTGAGATAATGGACGCTGCTGATGCTGTAACTTGTCTGAAATGGATGTGTTTGGCTTTCTGTGCAAGAACAAATGGAAAAATGGAATAATCACACTTTTATGTTAATTGCATTATTTTTTCTCCTTTTTGTTTTTTCCTTCCTAATGGATGTTGAAGACTGAAAGAATTTGGGGAAAGTAAATTGGCATTTTTAAAATATGGAGTTGTTAGTTTTGGGGTTGTTTTGTAATCTTGGCACCTACAGGGCAAAACATCTTTCTGTTTGCTTATCATCCTCTTCCTTAATGGAAAAGATGCTATTAGCATTTATTTTCTGGTGAAGATTCAGTAGACAAAAGAATGGTACTAGAGTGGGATTGTTTTCATGGAAAGAAATGAGCAGTATTAGAAAAGCATACTGCGGGTGAAATTGGAAGTTGATTTTTGTCTTGAGCTTTATTGTGAAATGAATTTAAAATAAAAGATGTAGCTCATTATTAAATTAACCTTGAATCACTCTTATGCAGAAAATCCTGTGTTTTTTTGGAAGCTAAATTCAGATTATTGTTAGGATCTAAAATTTTTAAAAACTTTTCATGAATGGGTTGTGCTGTAGTTTGAATTCAAAGGTTCTTTAAAAACTTGGGATCCCATATTATGCAATATTTTGTACAGACCAGAATTTGTAAATGACTCGATCACAGAAATTATCCTGTTGATAATACTGTATGACCAAAATTAGCAATTTATTTCTAGTAGGTTAGGTCTTCAGTAAGACAATGTGTGCAACACTTGTTGTAACTCATACTGTTGGAACTAAAGACGAAGGGGGTTTTATCTGCTAAGAAAAACACACACATTTCTGTGCAAAAGACAGCTTTAATTTCATCTTCCAAACCTAGTTTTATATTTCTAGTTTTGTTCTATTTCTGGACCTTTCTCTGTCTGTTACACACAGCACATTTAAGACAACAAAATTTCTTTGCTCTTGGGGAAAAACAGCTTTGACAAGGAAGCACATTTCCATCTGTCTCAATTTGTAACAGCATGCTGTTTGCCAAAGCTGCGCTCCAGGATCCTTACAGAGTGGGGAGCAATCTAGGGAGCTGCCTCTTTCTTTCTCCTGTACCTCTCTTCCCAATTCTTTGATGGGATTGTAGACTGCAGGTTGCTCATTTCTATTAAAAGTCCACTTGCAGGCTAGTATGTGAGGAACATGTGGTTGCTTTGCTGCATTGTTGTGTTTTCTGAGACGCCCAATGAAGGAAGGAGTGATGAATCTGACTCCATGTTCTTAGAAGGCTAATTTATTATTTTATGATCTATATTATATTAAGGAATACTGTACTAAACTATACTAAAGAATACAGAAAGGATACTTACAGAAGGCTAAAAAGATACTAATGAAAACTCGTGACTCCTTCCAGAGTCCCAACACAGCCTGACCGTGATTGGTCATTAACTCAAACCATTCACCCAATGAAACAATCACCTGTTGGTAAACAATGTCCAAACACATGTCCAAAGCAGCAAAACACAGGAGAAGCACATCAGATAATTATTGTTTTCATTTTTCTCTGAGGCTTCTCAGCTTCCCAGGAGAAGAATCCTGAGCAAAGAGATTTTTCAGAAAATACAATGGTGACAGCTGCATCTTCTCTGGCACCCACTGCCTTTGCTGTGTGTGCAGTAGGAACATGCTGTAGCCTCAGGCACCCAGTGCAAGCAGGATGGAAGGGCAGAGATGACATCCAGGCTGCAGGGCTGTTCCCAGGTCCTGATTCTGGTGCTTCAGGGGCATGGGTGGAGAGAATGGCAGCTCCCTCCTGGCCTGCTCCATACCTAGGATGCGCCAGCGTCAGTGGGAAGCAAATGGCATGTGCATACAGGAAGCTTGAAAATTTTCTCTGATACTGCCATTCACACATTGCTAAAGTCTTGTTCTTTTTACAGTTTAAAGGCTGTAAAAATCTAATCCGGCTCTGGAGTTTAGAGCATAAAGATTTATTCTGTTGCACTTCCATCAGATGTAATCAGTAATTCCATCACTAAATCTATTTGGTTTTCCTACCAAAAGTAGTTTTTGGGTGTTGACAGCAGAGTTGGTTTCCAGTCCTTCATTGGTAGTAGATCTGTGCCTGCTTTCCAGTCAATATCCAAGTTGCATCAAATTTATTTCAAATACTGCAGTTTAGAGCACCTTATTTTTATCAACTCATTTAATGGAACTTGTTAGTTCAATGAAACTAGGTAAAATACTTTTTTTGCATCTGTCTACTCATGTATGCATCTAGGTTTTAGAGGCTAAATTAATTAATAATGAAAAACTGCTATTTGGTATGAAAAACATAAACTTGTAATGAGACCTAAAGGGAGTTGGAGGTGAGGGTAAACATCTTTACATGCACAACCCCTTGTCTAATAAATCCAACAATTTTTTTCTTTCATTCCCAGCAGTAGTTTGTATTTGGTACAGTATTTGTATTCTTGTTTTAAACAACTCCCACAAAAGTCAAGATTCCATTACATGAATGAAGCATCTTTCAGGATTCCTGGCTTTAAGACAGGCAGTGCTAACAGTAAGGTGTGCTCTGGTCTGAGCAGGGCTTATGTGGATGGTGGGGCCCCACAGAAGCTTCATGATGCCAACACTGCCATGCATTAATAAAATTCCTTGATTTACAAATGTGATTAATGACAGTTAAGTTGAAAACAATGAGTTGGAGTGAGCTGAAGCTTTAAGTAGCTGGAAAAGACACATGCTGAAGTCTTATCAACAAGTAAAGAATTTTCAGAAATCTCTGCCATTAAAAATGACCAGTTTTGATATGCAAAGTTACACATCTTAAAAGGAACAAATGAAATGTCCTTCTTGTAGTGTTTAGTTAGGCCTGGGATGTGGGTTTATGCTGTTTTTAACTGACTGCCTGGCAAGAGGTATTGGGACATATTTATTCCTTAAAAGTGAATTAATAATGTAACATCTTGAAGGTAGGATTTATGAAGAAGTTTTATTCCTTAGCTATTTGGACTTTAATATTTTTGAATTATTAGTGGACGTTCTATTTCTTCTTGAATACGTATTTGTGAGACACTGAAAATGCATGGATGAGTCAGTGGCCAAATTTTCATTGGCTTCTAGGTAAAAATATTGGAGAATTAATGAAGGAACCATGGCTTTCCCTGCCTGTCATAATCTATTTTATCTTCTGCTTTCTGCAGCTAAATTAATAGCAAAGGGAAGACTGAATCTTCCAGCAGACTGATTTACCCAAGTGGGACCACAGAGGATCTATGTACCTTTGATGTATTGTGAAAGCTGAATCACTGTGAAAAACAGCTCACTTTCTCAGGCAGAATAAGTCTCTGTGTGCTATCCTGCTTAACTGTTGATTTTCAGACCTCTTGGAAAGAGTTTCAAGGTAAATTCTTCCTGTTAGATAGTGTAGATGCAGGAGGGTATAGATGGAGCAGCCCAGGTGTTGCTGGGCTTGTTTGAGAAGCAGGACTGCCTGATCCATCTCCTACTGCTCCATGTCCTGCTGCTGGACCAGGCTGGGTGTGCCCACCTCACAGTGAGCAGTGGTTGTACAAGTTTGAAAACAAACCAGTGGAACATTCCAAGGCAGAACTACAATTTAATAGGAAAATTAAAGGCAATAGTACAGAAACACTGGCCTAAACTGACAGTCAGAATACAACCTGACTTTGTGTGTGTCAGGGTGGTGGTAACAGTGTGATTAAATGGTGGCTACAGTCCTGTTGGAGTGATGGATGTGTTTTTGTCAAAACAGTGATCCTGTAGAACAATCTGATCTTTCTGTCTTGAGGTCCAGGAGTGGGTGTTGAGCTCTTGTTCGCTGGGAATCCTGTGGCAGTGCCCTTGTGGTGTTCAAAGCCTCAGATTGTATCCACGTAAGAATGTCTGGTTCCTCCCCCTGGGCGGGGCATCTCACAATAGGATGATGTAATTTTATGAGTCATGCAGTGGGACTCGATTTTCCCATTAGCAGAGATAGCCCCCTCAGAGGGAGTTATCAGGGATGAGTCATGGAAAAGATAAGGAATACTGCCCCACCTATTTTAGCAGCTTATGGAGATGATAATAGAATACATTATTTTGGTTACATCTTACATTGTAACCTAGGACAGTGGTGTATGGAGGGGTCTTCCCTATGAAGCCACATCAGGAATTTGGCTGCAAAAACTGACACAAATTAAAAGCTGTTAGAAGTGGTAACATTTGCACTTGTAAATGATCTGTGTTTGTTCATGGAGGTTATGCATCTGCTGCAAAACCACTGGCTTTGGTAGGAACATTTTCAGCAGTTTCAGTGGCCACAGCTCTGCTCTGGGAGCAATTACAGTGTTGAGTCCTTCCAGATTTCCCAGTGCTCTGTCTACCAGGTAGGGTACATGTAGATCACAGAACCAAATTTTATTTAGTGCAACCTTTACATATGTATATACAGAGTATTCTTTGTTCATTGAAGTTGAGAGCTCTAAGTGAGTGCTTAAATTCAGTGCATAAGAATGAAATGGTTTTGCTACTTGTAGCAGTGTGTTATGAGGAAATATCAGGTATTTCAACAAGCTCATTTACAGGACACATGATCCTGCACAACTGAATGTGTGTCTGGGGAGTTCAGTGTTTAATCTCTGTAACCATTTCAAAGCTAGTATTTGAAGTATAAACAAGGAAGAATCCTTTTTTAGATAAAATGACCTTTAGTCATTGAGTATTTATCAACTTGTTATACATGCTTATTACCACTGTAAAACCCTCAATAAGTACTTTGTTGAAACACCACCGCTTGCAACACAACTTCTATCACTATTGAGCCTTCTGGTTTATGCCAGTTACGTTCCTTGAATGTTGAAGTGAAATTTGTGTTAAACAAATGAACATATTTACCTGTTTTTTCCCCAAAGGTTCATATTTCTGGTTTTGACTGGAGAAAACATGAGTTCAGAATCTGAAACACTGATATGTGTTTATCCTGTGAGATTAACAGCAAAACCAATAAAACATGCAGATGAATCTAAGATGGGAATTCCCTGTTGGGGTTGTATCAAAAGCGGGATTTCACTTTGCTTTACTGTGGTGGAATAATGTACAGAATCTGTAGCACAGAAAGTCTGCCAGAGCAGACTACTTGAGTACATTTTAAAAATATCATGCTGTTACCAGTGAAGTCACCTTTAATTCTAAATTAAAAGAACTTTTCAGAGCTGAAAAAATCTCTAGTTAATCTAGTTAATCCAATACTCAGTTAAAACTGATTTGAGAACTCTGTCCTACTAAATTTATAATGTGAGCACATACTACTGGGTAGTGGGAAAATGGACCTGTTCTAAGTATCACCTTGGTATTGTACACTGCTCCCAGAATGTACCCTCAGGTACAGTAAAAAGGAAAACTCATATGTGGCTTTTCTTTACAAATGATGAAACTGAACTACTCTGCTTTGTTTTTTTCTCTGAGTTAAATTACACCATTCCTGTCCAGTTCAGCTATTCCA